ATTTTGATAAATAATTTAGTTTTGCTATATTGCTTATATTAATGAATACTTAAAAATCATCTAGAAATACTTGTTTTTGGTTTGTAGAATCCAAAAAATAATTTCAACTACTAATAAAATAAGTCAAAATAATTTTAGATTTAATTTCAGCAAGTTAATTTTTGCAAATTATTTAATTAAATGACATCATTTTGATAATCATCCTTATTATTATTCTTAAAAAAACAAAATTTAGTAATTAGAAAAAGATTTTTTATTATATTTATATATAAATAGAAAAGCAAAATAAAATAATTATAAAGAAATATAAATAAATATAATTATAAAGAAATTTAATTATATATTAAAATATAACTTATAATCTTTATTTTAATATAAAAATAAAAAATATTTATTAATAAAATTGAAAACTTTTATATAAAATAAAAATAAAAATTTTACTATATTTTATCAATAAAATTATATTTTTATTAGTCACTATATTTTTAAATTAAGTTATTTTAATTACAAAGTTATTGCAAGAATTTTTTATAATTAATTTTATATTTTAATTATAAAAAATTTTATAATAACTTTGTAATTAGAATAACTTTGTCAAATTAAATTTAAAAAATTCAGAAAAATATATGTTAAAATATAATTTATTATCTTTATTTTAATATAAAAATAAAAAATATTTATTAATAAAATTAAAAACTTTTTATAAAACAAAAATCTCAATTTTTATTATGTTTTATTAATAAAATTACATGTATGATTCCATAATTTTGTTAGTTATTATATAATTATAAAAGAATCTGATTATATATACAACTATTTTTCATATAATTACATTTTCAAAATCAAAAAAATATATAAAAATCGAATTTTGTATATTTTATATATAAATAAAACTAAAAAATATAATGATATAAAGAAATATTTATAATAAAAATGGTTTATTTCTTATAATACAATGGCAATCAAAAGAAATGCAACAGCGTCATTAATACAATAACAAATTTATATTTTAACATATATATTTTTCAGATTTTTTAGATATTAATCTGAGAAATATTTTCTAATTGCAAAGTTGATATAAAAATTAATCAACTTGGTTATATTTTTGTTTCAAAAGCCTGAACAACCTGTAATTCTTGTGAATGAATTGGAATTTGATGTGAATGACACTCGTGAAATTTTTTGCTGGATGAAGTTATTCTTTTATAAAGATAGTGAATTTGCTGATATTTATCTGAATCTGGCTGAAGCCGTAATTTATGATAGATTTTGTAAAACCTATGCTATTCATATAACTTCTTAAAATAAGCATGTGTATCGTATATCTTAAAATCACGTAATAAAGCCAAACCAAAAAATAAGCTATCCTGCAAAAAAAGATAGCTTATTTTCGCGAAGAAAATCTCCTAATGCTACTCTTAAAAAATCGGAATCTTCAGTAAATTTATCTCCGATTAGGAATATTTTTAGTTTTCCGGTACTTGAATATGATCTTATTACACAATGCAAGATAAATTTTTATAATCTTGAACGAACAAGAAGTTTTATTGTTTGAAACAGCAAGTTCTCAACCAAAAACAAGAATATATTACACAGTGTATGAAACATGAAAAACAGCCATATCATCTTTGCGAAACTTGGGTTTATGCATTATTACAAAATAATGAAACAAGGACGGGACACACGAATTAATAAGATCCTTGTTATACTCCAACTTTACCGTTACTTGAAGAATCTATATATTTTAATTTCCAAAAAAATAAAATAAGGGATTCTATCGAAGAACATAAACGGTATGTTGTATACCGATTTGACATTCATGTAACCGTGTTACTCAACGTCATACAATCCTTGTTATATATCTTACTCTCAAATGTTGTTATTGCTTATTGCTCAGCAGATTATTTATTTGGGGGCTTTTTTTAAAGTTATAATTGAAGTTAGAATTTTGGAATGAAAAAGACTTTTCATCGCGTGTTTAAGCTGTCAAATCGGTAAAGGAAAAGTGAATCATATGATATTCCCGTTTTAGGAAGTATACGATCCTCGTGAAACATAAAACTCGTTGAAAAACATAAAAAACTCGAGAACATTATTATTACATGCAGCATGCATTCAAGAAAAGTCTTCTATTAATTTCCGCGCTGCTCTGAGCTTTAAATGTACATGTCGCTGTAATGTTTCTATAAGAATGATTGATGTGTAAATTGGACTTTTGATTATGGCTAGACCAAAAAAAAACGATGAGTTAAGTAAGACTTGAGTTTAGGGTTAGAATTATCTCCCACCCGCTAATCTCACTTTTTTTTTTGTTGATAATGCTAAGCCCTCAGGAAATTATTGTCTTCAGTTCACTTTAATTGCAAGAATAATGATCAATGTCATACCGCATATATTTGTATGAACGGAAAATCCACACAACTAGGAAAGTCGTGTGCGCCCTAAATAAAGTTTGAAATTAACGCCGAATTTACGTACGCTTCTATTTATGCACGGTGGCAAAAGCAAATCTACGTATCTACATAATTAATCACTGTACATCTTAACTTTATCAGACATTTCAATCATACATTTATGAATAACCAATATGGCTTTTGAAAATGACATTTATTATGTTGTCATATCATAATGATCATTCGCTATCTTTTCATAAGGTATGATATTGAAATAAAAAAAATGACGATAAATATCAAAAAGTATATTTAAAAGTAAATTTTAATCTATTGGTTTTCTTTTAAATTATTGGCATTTTTCCTGTTGGTATGATAATCATAATAAGCCGTATAGATGGCTGGTAATACTGGTGGGAATGGCGCGTCTGGATAAGCTAATACAATTCTGCGAAATTAACGTAACGTAAGTTTCGTGATCACATAAATATTCCCCAATCAATCAATCATTCATTTATTTATTTATTTGATTATTAACTTACCTTTTCTGTAAAGAATTCCAATCGTAAGACGGACGAGTAGCAATAGCATAATGCTCATTTTCATTAGCATCGAAAAATTCCATTCCCCATTCACTTGATCCTTTAACAACAGAAATCGTTTTAAATTTTCTTTCACCCAGTTGTGGACATTTTCGTTTGATCAATCCATCAGAGACAGGGCTTGTCCACGTGATCTTGTATTGACAAGCTTGAATATCGGCCTCGAGTTCTTTCGCACGCGTAAATGACACAATGACGGATGGAGCAGTAGAAAAGAAATTGAATTCCGTGGATGCAACTGTAGTTACGACCAAAGCAGCGTTTCCAGCTTCGTCGTATCTATCTTCACGCATCTCGTAATATGCAGGACTCCAAAGTTTGTAAGATCGTGAAACCAGTTCAGCGAATTCAAATTCAAATGGATAATTAGGATAATTAGTACTGTTATTTGAAGCAATTCTGTTATCGGACGGTGAATATTTTTCGTTTAGCTCCAAAAGATAGTTTTTCACTTGTTCTTTATTCTCACGAATTGGTAAAGAAGCCAAATCAAGTGGAGGTGGTACTTCAAGAACATAATCCCAACGAAAGTTTATCGCAAAACGACTGCTAACTCGTAGCTGATAATGATTTGGTATAATCGATATGTCCGTGGGAAGTTGAGGTTCGTTCGTTTGTACAATATATAGAATAACAACATTTAACACTAGAAACACCAATATCAAACCCAACAAGAATAATAAAAGAGTTTCACGCGTGCACAAACGTTGACATAAACGTTTACATAAATCTTTGTGCGAAGATTCTAACGTTGATTCTTCGTCTCCTCGGTTCAAAAGCGGTGTTCTTTCAGTATCTACCATTGTATTATATTTATTTTCGATGGCAAAGAAAGAGAGAACAGGGGCAATTTAATGCATCATCTACCGTCTTTTGTTTACGCAAATGTACTACGTGATTGGTCAATCAAAATATGGGTAATATGTGCACACAGTGTTTTTACGCCATCTTTAATTATTAAAATTATATTTACAAACTGTGAATATTAAGCCTATTCTTTGATACCTACATACGTATATGAATTAACCAAATGTTATATATATATGGTATAGTTGATTATTAAAAAGGGAAAAATATACAGTGAAGAGTTTTAAGCTAACGATAATGCTAACGCTAATTACCAATTTACATGATTGGTAATTTGGATTTTTCCCAACGATCTACACTCATGGCTGCGTTTTTTGTGAACGAAATCTAACATAAATATATGCGTATAATTAATTTAATAAAAATTGTCCGCTCATAATTGATTATTAATAAATAATACCTACAATATTCGCGATAAAATCAAACTTATTGTCGAAAATAGGAGTGGGAAAAGTGACCAATTTCTCAACGCTGACTTTCTCATTGGTAAATCCCCATGAGACTAAAGCACTGAATGTACGAGAAGAGAGAGTTGATTGAATAGTTTGATTTTCACTCGTGACCTGTGATCGAATTTCGGGTTGAATTTGTGCATGAGTTGTAGTTGTTATTATTGGAAGTTGAGAGTTTGTTTCCGTTTGAGACTCGGTCGCATTTCTTATTTCCGTTGGTTCGTCATCAATTGCAAAGAACCAAGCAGTAAAATGTGCAAGGACTTCTTGTATATTATTTGTTTGTATGACGGAATTTTCAGTATTTGCAGCTTCCTTTTGAATTTCGTTATCGTTATGAGAGAACAGAGAAGACAAGAAATTAAAAGTGCCAGTGTGTTTTTTATCATCGTTATTATTTGTGTTTGTATTGTTATTTTCTAATGTTTCTGTTATTTCATTTTCTGGCGTTGATTTTATAATGTTCTTTTTTGCTTCGAGAATTTTCGATGATTTTTTATTGAACCACCAAGTTGGGAAAGAAACAAGAGGCTTAGCTTGCATTTTCTGTTTAATTAATGCTATTTCTTTTTTGTCTGTGGTACCAAATAATGCTTTATGTAAATTTCTAATACTTGGACCTGTGGTGCTAAATTCTTGATCATTATTCTCGTCAGACACATCAGAAGTGATCGACGAAAAAGTCGCGGACGCACGTACGCGTTCGATTGTCATCTTCGTTGGCTCTATTTGCGCGAATTGAATAATGTTAGTCGCGTCCTTCATTTGCAATACAGCCGGAGCGGATTGAGAACGTCGAGGTTGTGAATTTGATAACGAGAAAGAACGACGCCATTCCGAAGACTGAATTTTCGTAGCGGTTGTTGGAGTATTGGTGATCGCATCTTGATGAGTGGAACAATTGGCGACATCATTGGCGTAGCTCTCGTATTCACTCAAGAAATTTATGGCCGATGGTGGAAGTTCACCTTCTTCTTCTGCGACACTCTTTAGGAAGTTGGTAAGGGTGTCCAAGTAATCGTGAATATCAGTGTATAATCTTTTGGCGTCTTCTACGTCACTTGTGCTGCTTGATCTAACTGGTTGTTTACGTGTAGATGTTTCCATTATTTTATTATCTAGTATATTAACAGTAGTACTCTTTCAAAGAGATATATTTGAATAATAAGAATAGTATATATTTATTTATTTATAAGCAGGGATACTAGCGTTAACGAAAAGGAGAAAATTTTCTTTCTTCTCCAAAAACTCTCTTTTATATATTTGTTTCTCATGATCTTCATCATCTTAATATAAAAAGCCTCACTATTCTTTTACTCAATAAATGTATACTTGGTCCTATTAATATATATGATAATCATTTAAAGTAAATTAAAAATGGAGGATCTGATATTTTTTACTTCAAGTAGATCGGTTTTATATTGTGTGTCAGTAATAAAAAATATTATTATATTTTATATCAGGATAAGTGACTCGTTTTTAATGATAAATTCAAAGTTTCAGCCCTATCTAACAATGATTTTGTGTATGTGTACCGATTCCTTCCTTCTTGAAGCTAGTTTTAATTCTTGTTCTTTAACATTATCATTATACATGAGAAAATCTCACATATCCCCGGATGTTACACATTCAGAAAAGGATCAACACCGAAAATCATTTTTTTTGCTTACTTGATTGTTTGGAGAATAGTTTAAATTTCGATTTAAAACAAACAACATACGTTTTGTGTCTTGAATTTTTGAGTGTTCATGTTTCGGGATTCTGAAATATATTCGGAGATTCCGTTATTACAAATCGGTATTGTGTACATACCGTTTTCGGTTTCTGAAAAAGTTTTATCGCGAATTTGCAATGGAACAAGAAAATCATAATTACACTCTCACAAAGACAATGAGAATCAAAGAATCACAAGGGAAACTTCTGTTTTTTAGTGTGTATCAGTTGTCGAGTATTTCGTGAATTCTTGTTAATCTTGCATATTTCCGGAACCAAAGCCGGAGCTCCATTCAAACTTTATATTTTGTTATTAATAGATCATGATATGGAATCATTAATTATCACTCTTACTCGATTCAATTTTCGAATCATGCTCCCCCCTTCCCCCTTCTCGTTTTTTTTTTATAAGGAGCCGAAATCTCTATGCTATCTGTGAAATAACATAATGAGATGTCATCATATTTGTTCAGAAAATGTTTTTTGGTTAGCTTCTACGCACAGGAATAGGAAAATATTGAGTCAACGTGCAGATATTAATTGCATAGAATTATAGAATTATATAAATTTATTCATCTTCATTCTTTTTGCCTCCGAGATATACAAGTTTTTTAATGTACTGAAACTCTCGATTTAGATATCAAAAGTTCTACAACCCCAACCTTTAATCTAACAATTACATTTAGCAACTGGAACGGAGAATTACATCAAAAATACGCCAATTTTTCTTCTAACCGTTTCTTTACCGAGATTTGTATCTATTAAATCACATAATGTGTAGAAGTGGGGATTGAAAATCTGAAACATTTCAGTTCCATTCATGTGTGTCTTATATGGGGCAGGCAAGTACGTTGTTGTGCATCCAATAAATGGTATATATAGAGTAAAATGACAGGTTTTCTTTTAACATTTGCTGCATCTATGGATTATCAAGTAATGCGCTATTATAGCATACAGACATGCACCATTACATACAGATACATATTTTCCTTTTCTTATAAGCCATAGAATTAGAAAAACCAGAATTAGAATAAACTATTTATTGAAAAATGTGCATGCTAAAATTAACGTGTGCTTGATGCAAAAAAATACCTCATTAAAAAACGTGGTGTGTTTTCATTCGTTATTTCTACGGAAAAATCTTTTAAATTATGTGAATAGTCTTTCACGAACGATTTATTGGCAATGAATAAACACGAGCTATTACAGCATCTGTTAGTTGATTCTTAAAATATTTATGTTAGACGCAAAGAAAAAGTGTATATATTATTTGTTTTGACGCACACTCTTGATAGGTTAAATCCTGATTTTATGTAAAAATACACGCTTCAGAACATTAATAATTATTACCCGTAATATAGTTTGATTTCTTCATTCGCTAGCATTTCGTTGAGGTATTTTTGAGAGAAGCGTCGATATAAATGATCTATTTTGTAATTGAATTTTTTATATTATATATAATCTGATTCTTTTATAGTTATTATTCTTACAAAAGTGAAAGTGGAATTATAAAAAAAATAATTAAAAAAATCAAATTGGATAACTATTAAAGATGTCAGTCGTCACACAATAAACTTAAAAAGTTGAAACTAATTCAAAATTCTTAAATTACAATTTTTATACTTAAAACTTGATCTGGTATTGTTAAATTTAGAAAAAGTTTAACAAAAAAGTTTATTATCAGATATAAAAACTAAAATCTTCAAAAAATACTGTATTGAATAATTTGAGGATCTTTTTATATAAAGTACTCATAGTTTTGGTGATTAAATTTTTTATATTATAATTAAATATTTTAAATAAAATACAACAATTTAGAATTTAAAGTACTTTTATTATATATAAAATTAATAATTATTACAAAAATTTTATTTAATATTAATAATAATTATTTTATTTATATGATAACTATATTGTATTTATTATTAATTATTCTTTTAATTATAATAATTTAAATACTATTATTAAGAATCATAAAGAACTTTAATTATATTCTATTATTAAGAATTTTATTTTTGATATTTTTTGCTAATATATTTAATATTTTCAATATATACTTAACAATTCTAAAAATAATTTTAGTATTTTTTAAATAAATTTTAAAATATAATATAACTTAATAATTTTATTAATAAGTTTTAATTTTATTAATAAATATTTTTTATTTTTATATTAAAATAAAGATTATAAGTTATATTTTTTCTGAATTTTTTAGATTTAATTTAATAAAGTTATTTTAATTGCAATAACTTTGTAATTAAAATAATTTTATTAAATTAAATTTAAAAAACTCAGAAAAAATATATATTAAAATATAATTTATAATTTTTATTTTAATATAAAAATAAAATCTTTTATATAAAAAAAATTTTAATTTTTATTATATTTTATTAATAAAACTTGAAATTTTTTCTTATATAAAAGTTTTTAATTTTATAAAAATATAATTTATATTTTAATATATAATTTTCTAGATTTTTAAAATTTTATTTAATAAAATTATTACAAAAATTAATTTTATCAAATAAAATCTAAAATATAACATAATTTTTATTAATAAAATAAAAATTTTTATATAAAAAAATTTTGATTTTTATTATAAAATTATATATATAATTTATAATTTTATTAGCTATTATATATTTATTTTAAAGTTATAATTAGTATTTTTTATTAATTATTAATTTTTATTTTTTAATTTTATTAGTTTATTTTAATATATATAAATTATTATCAAATTATATATATAGTTTATAATTTATTATTATCAAATATATTTTATCAGTTTAGTTTTAATTTTAAAAAATAAATATAATTACTTTTATTATTTTAAATAATATTCTAAAATATTAATACTAAAATATTTTTTAAATTAATTTTTAATATTTTTTATAAAAATATTAATTTAACTCTTAAAGAATAATTAATTCAAGTAAACATTTCAATTTTGAAGAAATAATAACTTATAACTAAAATTTATATAAAAAATTTATAATATTTTATATAAATAATAAATAAAATATAATAACAATCAGAAATAATACAATAATATTAAAATTTATTAATTAAACAAAGTAAAATATAGAGTTTTCTTTTTACATAAAAATTTTTAATTTTACTAATAAATATTTTTTATTTTTATATTAAAATGAAGATAATATTATATATTTTAGCATATATTTTTTTCAGATTTTTAGATTTAATCTAATAAAGTTATTTTAATATCAATTATTTTTTATAATTAAAATATATAAAAAAATAATTAATTTTATATATAATTAGAATAACTTTATCAGATTAAATCTAAAAAATCTGAAAAAAAATTTATACTAAAATATATGATATTATCTTCATTTTAATATAAAATAAAAAATATTTATTAATAAAATTAAAAACTTTTTTATAAAGAAAAAACTTTATTTCTGATTATTACTGTATATAAGGTAGATATTTAATTTGTCTTATTAAGCTAAGTTAAATAATATAAAAATCACTCAATTTTGATTTTTAGATCATAAAATATTCTTAATAAATTATAATATTTATTTTTATTATAATATTCTCTTTATTATAATCTTTGAATAAGAATATCTTATTATTTAATGATCAGAATTGAGTAATTTTTATATCATTTAATTCAATTTAATGAGATAAATTAAATAATGTAAAAATTACTCAATTTTGATTACTGTATCATGAGATATTTTTTAATTTACTATAATATTCATAATGCTAAAATATTAGATTTTAAGTATTCTTGTATAAACTATAAAATAGCAAGTATTTAAATATAATAGTTAATTCTTTCTTTGTTAATTTAAAGTAAATTGAAGATTATATTGATTCAATAAATTTTGTAAGTAATTGAGCTTTTTGGAAAATTTTTATTAATTACTACTTTTAATTATACTATAATATCTAGGGATGTTAATTGATCCTTAGGGACTGAGTCCTAAATGATCCTTTAGCATAATGATCCCGATCTGATCCTAACTTTAGGACCACCATCCCATCTGGTTCTTCGATCACGTGATCAACCATAGGACTGGGTCCCATCCAAGGATGATCCAAAACGATCCTACAAATCATCCCATCCTTATAGTAATACAATATGTAGTGATACAAAAAATGGGCTAAAAATTAGATTTTGGGTATAGGAGAAGAGGT